TGAAGCCAAAAGGAAAGTGGTACGTGAAGACATCTCGAATATATAATTAATCAACTAAAATTAATTAAAGGAAGAATTAGTTGTTTGATGGACTGATCGAATGACCGATCTCGACCGACCGACCGACTGTGCAGCCGGCCGACCGACCGACTGTGCAGCCGGCCGACCGACCGACCGACCGAACGAACGAACGAACGAACGTGTGAACGAACGATTGACCGACTGTTTATCCAGCTGACTGATTGGTTGGTTGATCGATTGATTGATTGATTGATTGGTTGGTTGGTTGATTGATCGATCGATTGACGGATTAATCACTTATGATCGATTAGTTTCTGAACTTTGAACTTCTTCGAAACTGCCAAGTTTCGTTTGAGCGACTTGTAGTTACGATGCTCTGACTAACACTGTATGAAATAGAGCATAAAATTAAGCGATCTCAGTCTGCAGTGATTTTCTACATACCGAGAAATTACAAGACTCGTCTATTCCCCTTTTCGGTGCACAGATGCCCAGGTATTTAATACAGCAGCGGTCTTTACCACAATCTGCATCTGTATTACAGGTCTGAGGAAAAGAGAAACACAAAGCTGAGAACAAATTACGAAAATGGAAAACACATTTGTTCAGACAGACACTGCGCCCAGGCCAATTCCCTCTCCAAAACGTTTTCATTAACACATGTACGGTTGAGGAGAGGACAAAAGAATATAACCGCTGTATATAGTGCCCTAGCCATTAGTTTCTTTGATGGTAGCCTCAGATGGCGGGTCTAAGTCCGCTTTTCAATCCAAACTATTGATTCTTTCATACAAGGGCCAGAACAAGAAATCGCAAGAAAACGTAGTTTACAATCGTTCTTGGGTGTGAAAAATTTGTAGGCAGGGTGTCTTTGCAGGGGCGACAGAAAGAAGGGTACAACCGCTGTACGAATGGATCAGTTTGACGCTGGGGAATTGGCCGGGAAATGTGTTTTCAGTTCATGAATGAAAATGGATCTTTTACGATAACTGACGTTAAAAATTAAAGCAGTAAACTTACATCAATATCAGGAAGGTCCCACCGCTTCTCTCTATCGTGCTCAGCTTTAGCTGGGATTTTCTCGCATGACGCGTTGAAAGCAAGAGCGCATAACAAAACTGCCACCAACCTCTTCATGTTTTGGGATTTCCACTAAGCTCAGTGCAAAAATGGAGACTTTCCAACAGAGTGAAAAATAAGAAATTAAGTGCGTCACCTTTATTTAATTCCCAAGATTGCATAACATCTATTTTCTCCCTGCAGCATTTAT